TCTCTCTCACACACACACACACACACAAACACACACACACTTACACACACACACCCTTTGTTCGAACCACGGTTGGAATACATGGCGTCGGTAGTCTAGTGATTAGGCTACCAGACTCGTAATCCCGTACAGGTTCGGAGGTTCAAGCCTTAAGTCCCGACGTTGTGTCCTTGAGAAAGGCACTGTACATGAATTGTCCTCATTTCACCCAGGTGAGAATGCGTACCTGGCTATAGACAGGGAAAATTCTTGTCAGTATGTTAGTTTTTTAGTGCCTATAAAAGTGGCAGCTTGCATTGTATGTTTCCCCGGAAGCTGTTTCAGAATGCTATCAGGTCTGTTGTAGTTATAATATAGATTGAAAATAAAGCATAGAGCTTGCTGTTGAGCGGGAATTTGCGCTTTACAAATGATTTCTGATACGTGTATATATAGGTGTCACAACGCAGTGGAATCAGGCGCTCATCAGTTTTTAGGCTTGTGGAGAAATCAGTATCTTCTTAAAGCTTGATCATTTGTCTTGCTTTCAATGTAAAAAATTAATGATCTGTCTTGAACAGAAGTCGAGATATTAGGATTTGAAGAAGGTTGGGGGTCGCCTGGTTTCAGAGGCAAAGTTAGCGAGAAAAAGGCTTCAAGAGTTTGGCGACTGCCAAAGGTTGAGAGTCCTTGAAAACTGCAAATGTACATTTTTGGGTGCCTTTAATCAACATTTGTCAGTAAAATCCACACAGAAATGTGTTCTTAAATGGATGTATAAGGCGCAGACCCCCCCCCCAAAAAAAAACAACAACAAAAAAAACAAAACAAAACAACAACAACAACAACCCAACAACAAACAAACAAACCAAAACAACCCCACCTCAGTAAGAATTGCCTAACCAACGGGAAAATGCCCATGCCGGTTTCTTTGATTTCATCACTTTGACGAGCGCTTGATTTCTCCACGATGACTCACATAAATAAAAATAAGAACATTGTAGAACGTTAAAATTCCCAGGGGAAAAAATAAAATCAAGTACGTAAAAGACGTAAGTAAGGTTCATCAGTTGGTTCAAGTCTCATTCCTTTTCATGAAATTTTAATAGAAACGGATTTGGATAAATCAAAGATTTTGGATTAAGATAAAGCCATGTATTCCTGAAAACCTCGTCTTTTGACAAACGACAAAGATGAAAGACGGCGACAGTGCGTGAGCCGGGCCAACTTACTGAATCATTTCCTCAGCTGTACCGTCAGTCGAGTATTTATATAAGGGTCAATGACCTCAACGACCTCATACTACACGTTCTAGATCTCTCTCTCTCTCTCTCTCTCTCTCTCTCTCTCTCTCTCTCTCTCTCTCTCTCTCTCTCTCTCTCTCAGAAGAAATATTTAAATAGGCGTTTATTTTATTACGCCTTGTTTTTCTTTTCTTACTCATCAATTGAAACTGTATGTGGATCATTTAAGAGACAG